GATATCATCGCGAAGCCCACCTTCAAAATGCCTCGCTTTCTTGTAGTCAGTGTCGACCACATGTGGTGCAAACCTGGCCAACTCAGTGAACTTGGCATCATACTCAACTACTGTCATGCTGTTCTGTTTAAGTTCCATGAATTCCGACACCTTTCTGTCATGAACATACTGTAGAAAATACTTGTCATAGAATATTTCCAAGAATTACGTCCAGCCAATGTCCTTCTGATTCTCACGCATTAACATCTACCAACTTCTTGCATAAAGGTGGCTAGAAGTACTTTATGTGTCTCTGAACAAGGAAACACTTCAAATAGCTTTTCAATGCCGAGAACCCATGCTTCGGCCTTCAACGGATCTAATCCCCCGTGAAACTGTAACGGTTTCATTTTCTTAAACTCTTTGGTGAGAGCTATTATTCGATCATCGTTCTGTAAGTCTGGCACAGGGGGTGCCGGAGGTGGAGGTGGAGGATGTAGTTGCTGCCACTGTTGTTGTTGCCTCAATGTTTCTACCATTTCCTGAATCAATCTTTCCATCCTATCCATTCTGGCAGTAGAGGACTCCTCTATCTCATCACCTCTCGTTCTCACCATCTGATTAAACTTACATTATTCTTTATATAAAAATTTCACAAGTATGCATATACCATGGAACGTACATATTCACATAATTCGTTATGCAAGTAAATCACAAACATATAGCATATAATCATTCATCTCGAAGCATTTAAGTACATTTTTTATGCTTTCAGATTCATACTTATCACATGAATGCATCCTTGATCTTTTCTAGATGCTAATTGCTCGTTTGGACAAGTGTGTGAGTCATTAACTCGTGCTCTGATACCACTTTGTCATGACCCGAACCCGCCCCCATGGATTAAGGTCATACCCGGCCAGTAATCAAGAGATTACCTACAGCCTCAAATCTTATTGGATATATTTCAACAGAGTTAAGGGGCCAAAACGGAAGCAAACTTAAAATTTTTGTCCATAGAGCTGTGCTTACATGGCACATCATAACATTTTATATATATTCATTAATAACTCACATCAAAGGAAGTTAACATATAAGCTTTACACAACGAGATCATTCAAGTCATAGTCAGCCAAACCAACAGCTTATATACAAAGGTGATCCAAAGTTTTCGCCAACATAGCAAAAATATAACAAAAGAACAAAAGGGCGAAAATAAGTCTCGTGCGTGAGACGTAAGGGCTAACTCCTCAAAACTTTGACTGTTTCTCTCATACTTCACTGGGGCTGGGTTTGGACATCTCTTGGCTCACCTACAGACACATGAATGAGAGTAAGCGAAATCCCAGTGAAAAATATCAAATAAAGAAGATACATGAATGAAATTTGAAATAGATGCATCAGACGGCCTTCAACCTAGTTCATGTTTCTATCTAGTGTTTCAACGACTACAAATCCAAACATATCAAACGGCCTTGGGCCCAATTCATTCGTATCAAACAACCTTTGGCCCATTCATTTATGTCCGACGGCCTTTGGCCCAATCATTCATGTCAAACGGCCTTTAGCCCAATCATTCATATCCAACGGCCTTTGGCCCAATCATTCATATCCAACGGCCTTTGGCCCAATCATATGGCATAACAAATATTGTCCACCTTTCAGATTAACAAGCTTACGAAACTCAAATAGGAGTAAATAATTGGACAAATAGCATACTTCAAAATATCTTTATTAAGATATTACTCACAGTGTTCTGCTGGTGGATTCGTCCTTGTGCTCGACCCTACATAATACATAACACATATATGGGTTACAAACGATTCAATACGTTCTTAATTCATGCATCCCTCTTAAGCTTCTTTCTTATCCTTTTTAACTCATTTATAATGTTCAATGCATACCTAAGAGTGCTTAGAAATAAAAGAAAACGGAAAACAAAACTTAAATCAACTTTACAAAATTTCTGAAACAGGGCTCCCTGCTCGAGCGCGGTTTCTGCCGCTCGAGCGAACCCCTCTAGTCTACAAAAGTACTGGTTGCCTCATATTTACGCTCGAGCGTGACTTTGGGGGCTCGAGCTGGAATTCAAACTACGTGGCTGGCGTTCGAGCATGATTCTGTCCGCTTGAACGAACATCAATGTCTACAAAAGTTCTAGGAGCTAACATTTCACGCTCTAGCGGCTCCCTCCCTGCACGAGCGGATATGCCAAATTCTGAAATCTCCAGAATTGTTCTTGAAGTTCAAACTCAATGTTCAAAGGTCCAACACTCATGTTTTGGACACAAAAACATGGGAACACAATATATAACATGAGAACATAACCAATATGAGGCCATTCATTCAAAATCATGATTTAATTCTCAAATTACTTAACATTCTTCTTGACATGGTTGAACCTCATGCATTCTAGCTTTATACAAACTTCATATCTCTATGAATCATTCATACATGTGAAATATAGACCCCAATACCATTTCAAATGACACAAATGATGTTTATTCTCATGAAACTCAACAAAACCAAGTTTGCATGTATGCTTCAATGCTCAATTCTTCTTGTTCAACATGATTCATGTTTGAATGTATAAAATCATGGCAATTATGTACATGCATGTACATACAAGCTCCAAATTCATCAATTACAACTCAAATTATGTTCTTGATTATCATCTAGCTTGAATTCACAAAATTATAAACTCAAACTCATGAATTTACTCACCTAGGAGCTCCAATCTTCACAAATGAAGTTAAATCTTGAGTGTAGCTTCCAAATTCACAAACTTTGAGCCAAAATACATAATTCTTCCTCTTCCTCTCTCTAGAACCGGCCCTCTCTCTCTCTCTCTCTCTCTCTCTCTATAGAGTGTGATTTTCAGATTTTGAGCTCAAAAGGAATGAGGTTAAGTGTGATATGGCCCTTATATATGTTTGCCTAATCAAATTTGATTAAGACTAAGTAATAGAGCTTAATTTAATCATTTTGAATCTAATTATTTCGTTCCGAATTAATTTTCAATTAAATTTCACCATAGGCTTTAAAAATTACGCCAATCACAATGGCGTATTTCTATGGCCGATAAGGCCTTTAATTTTCAGTTCATAACAGTAAGTTGAACAGATTTTTCATACGGTGAACAGATAGAAATTCAAAACCACATATATCATATAAATGGCACTCAAAATCATACTAAACACATAATCACAATCATACTTAAGGTTAATTAGCATAATACGGAACAAGATTATCACAAATTTACTATTCAGCACCACTTGACTCGTTTTCAAGATATAAGTAAGAATTTTGTTTTATGTCTCTACATTGTCATGCGCAATCTAGATATTATGAAAAGGATGTAGCTTGCCTCCAGTCTGAGATTGGACTGGACGGTGCTGTTCGGTCCGTAGGGGTCTATCACGGGTCTCATTTTGATAATCTGAGCCGTTCAATGTGTAGAACTCATCAAGAACTATACGACTATAAAAAATCACGTTGATCGGATATCGATAGCTATGTAGTCAAATCAGTTTTGTATAAAAAAATAGACAGCGAACAAATTAGCGGTTGACAAAAAACTGAACCAATGAGATAGTTATCGATATCCGATTAACGTGATTTTTTATAGGATATCCGATTAACATGATTTTTTATAAGCATATAGTACTCGACTAATTCTACACATTGAACGGTTCGGATTATCAAAACGGAACCCATAGTGGGCTCCCATGGACCGAACAGTACCGTCCAGTCCGATCTTGGACCGGAAGTAAGTGGCTCCCTTATGAAAATGTACAACTAATCATTTTCATATCTCATCAAATCTTTAAAATTTTAGTAAACAATTAATTTGATATTATAAGCCAATTATTCATTTTTTAATCTTTTGTTATAATTTCTCATTTAATTTATAAACCAAACATGATAGAATTATTTTTATCATATTTTTTTCATTAATTCACTCAATCTGAACATGCTTAATCACTTTAAAAAAAATAATTAAATTATCAATTTATTTGGTGCAATTTATTATAGTCATTTTTAAAAAATTGATGCAACATTTATTTATAATTTATGAAATAAAATAACTAAATAACTGAAACAGTTAATTATTTAAAAATTAAGAAAATATTACTCTTAACTTTTAACTTGTGATTAAAGCTTTCAATTTGAGAAAGATTACACCAAACACACCCGCTATTTTCAGGATATGTATATATATATATTTGTTGAGAAATTTCACTTAAGAGTTAATTTTTAAAAATAATTATAAATAAATAATAAACTTTATAAATATTTTCTTTCTTCTAATTTTTTTAGACAAATTAAATATACCTCCTTTGAAATTTAGTTAAATTACAGATATCCCTAAGGTTTCGAAAATTACAGATACCCTCTGAAGTTTATATTTTCATAACAAATTATCCTTTGAGATTTATATTTTCAAAACAATTTATCCATGAACTTTATATTTTTATAACAATTTGTCTCTTAATTTATTATGTAAATAGTACCTTTAGAGAATATCTACTCCCTCCGTCCCAAAATAATGGTCCCTTTTGGAGAATCCAACTTTTTTTGGTAGTACAATTATTACATTTGAAAAAAGTTGATTTTCCAAAATTATCCTTTTGATAGTACATTTTTTTGAGAATATCAATGCATAATTGTACTTTTTATGTTATTTATTAATTTAAAAGAAGGGTAAAATAGGAAATTTATATTATTTTTGTACTTGATTTTTGAAGAGGGACTAATATTTTGGAACAATAAAAAATAAAATAAAAAATTAATATTTTGAGACGGAAAGAGTATAATTTCTCAAATTTTATGAAGGTATTTATAATTTTACTAAATCTCAAGTGATATATGTAATTTACCCAATTTTTTATGAGTCAATTGTATTAAATGTTGTTCTCTCACACATAGTCACTTTCACATTTTTCTCTTTTGCACTTGTTGGGTTTTTCCACTTTTCCATTAAATTTCTTTACCCAGCTATAAATGCAATCTCTGTCCATCTCATTTTTGCTTTCCCTTTACTGTCTCTCTCTCTTCCTCTCTTTCTCTCTCTGGTTTCCTCCATTGCAAACCAAGCTTTCCTTTCCAGCTTTCTGAGGTCCCTCTCTCCCTCTCTCTCTCTCTCTCTCCTCCACATTAACAAACCCCCCCACCAACTATTTCCCTTTTTCTCTGCTTTTTCTGTCCCCTCTCTCATCCTCTCCATTAAAAAAAACTCTCTTTATCTCTCTTCTCTCCTTTCTCTCCTCATTCTCTCTCTCTCGATACATTCTCTTTCTACATTTTCTCTTCAAAGATTAGATTTTTGTCTTGCCTTATTTGCGCATTTCATTGATTTCTTTCTCAATTTCTTTTGGCCCACTTGAGGCCATATCCTTCTGCTTCTAAACTACTCCTCTTCAACTGTTTGGCTTTTGGGTTTTGGTGGGTTTGTACTATTTCAACTCTGCATTGGTCTATCTATGCTTATTGAGTCTCTATTGGTTCCAAAAGAGGTTATTTCTCTGCTTCTCTGGGTTCTCAACGAAGAAGATCAAGGGGACTGGACTAGGTTTAGATCACTGAAAAGGGCAAGTACTTTCCTCTTTTAATCACTTTTATTTATTTATTAATTATTATTATTGGATTTACATTTCTCTTTTATGTTCTTTTCATTGGATCACACGCAATGTTTCGTTAGATTTTATTCCCATTTTTATAGATTGTGATTCGTGATATGAAGATTGGAGATTTACGGGTTGTGTTTGTTTTTCTCAAAAAGTTATAGTTTGCCAAGGATCACTGTAGAAAACAGATTGGTGATTTATGGGATGTGATTCCCCCCCCCCTCCCCCCACAGTAATTTCTTATTTGTTGGGATTACATGAATTTGGGTTTTTCTTGATTTGTTAATTGCTGAAACAGTAGAAAATAGTCTGTTAAGGATCACTGTTCTTTTTCATGGTATTGTACCCCGAAAATTTGCTACATTAATCTTTCTGGGTTTGAGTTGTTGAATCTGGATGAGGATGCAATAGCTTTTTATGCACAAAAACTATTTGTAAATACGAAATATCTCATCTGAAACTTAAGGAAAAAGTCCAGTGTTTTTGGACATCAAGATTGTAAGGTAGCTCTGTTGTCATGTTCCCAAATGCTTTTGATTGATTTGTGGAGTTTTGGGTGCAATGATAAAACAATATTCTTGTGGGATTTGTGCAGTTTTTTGGGTTATTTGGTTGGAGCATAATGCTAAGTTTTTTGAGGATTTGATTGAAGAGGTGGACTATTTATGGGAGAAAATTGTTGCCTGTCATCTTCTTGGGTTTCAGTCTTCACTCCCTTTAGTGGAATTTCACTCTTTTTTTTTCTTTTTCTTTTTTTGTTTAGTGTGTGTGCGCGCGCGCACCTCTAGAGAAATGTGGGGAGTGTGATTTTGTAGTGCGAGAATTTGGTTGTCTTTATTTTTGTTTTCTTTTCTCAGACTCATCTTTGTTCCCCCGTTTGTCTTACACTCATCTTCTTTTCTAATAATATTTCTTCTTCTTCTTCTTCTTCTTCTTCTTCTGTTGCTGATCATTAAAAAATCAAGATATTTATTTATGAAGAAATTAACATGTTTCTGGCACCCAGGTGACAATGGTTTAACTTTGCATTGCAGTCCAAGAACTAAGCGAGGGGAACGTAATTTTTGTTTTGTTTTGTTGTGTCTAAGTCACTGAAAATGTCATCTGGGAGCTTGAATTCGGAATTATCAAAGAAAACATCATTTCTGGGCCTAAAACTTTGGGTTGTAATCGGTATATGTGTTGGTGCATTCATAATTTTGATACTCTGTATCTTATCTTTGTGGGTCTCACTTCGAAGAAAATCTAGAAGAACACTAGACAAGTATCCCCTTTCTCAAATACCCAATGTCTCGAAAGATATCAAGGTTGACAAAGTTGGAGGTCAAAATCATCGTGATAATCCAGAGAGTTTATTCCTGTCAGTTCATGATAAATCAAGTGATAAAAATTCAGAGAAAATGTCTGTTCATTTGGGTATGCACAAATCAAGTGATGCTGATAATATCAGCCAATGTAGCTCTATGTTTCATCATGAGAGACGTAGTTCACAATCAGGGGAAGAGGGAAATTCCGGTACTATTCGGAAGCAGTCTTCACTACTATATGGGCTTCCAATGGCCTCTCCTTTAATTGGATTGCCAGAAGTCTCGCATCTTGGGTGGGGTCACTGGTTTACTCTTCGAGATCTTCAACTTGCAACAAATCGATTCTCACCAGAGAATGTGCTTGGGGAAGGTGGATATGGGGTTGTTTACAAGGGCATACTAGTCAATGGGACTGAGGTCGCGGTCAAGAAGCTTCTTAACAATTTGTAAGGATGCTTCAAAGACTTTCAATGTTTGGATATCCATTTCTTAATTTTTGTATTTATTTTTGTGTTGAAAATTGTTTTATAATTGTACAACAAATTTGCTTTACAGGGGGCAGGCTGAGAAAGAATTTAGGGTTGAGGTGGAGGCTATAGGCCATGTTCGGCATAAGAATCTTGTGCGGCTCCTTGGCTATTGCATAGAAGGAGTTCATAGGTAGATTTATTTTCCTTTTGTTGATCTGATTATAATTTTTAGGTTTAATTACACCAAGAGCCTCTCAACTATTAGCAAATATCAACTTACCCCCCTCATTCATGAACCCGTACATTCTGAAAACTAAATATATATATATATATATCACTTTTGCCCCCTTTATACCACTTTTAGAAGGGGGGCATTTGCACCATTTTTATAGTTGAGGGGATCAATATGTATGGGTTCATAGATGAGGGGGATAAGATGATATTGGCCGATAGATGGGGAGTCTAGGTGTTATTAACCCTTATTTTTATTTTCGATTTCTTTTCACTTTAGGCATGTAGCTGTTTACAGTTTTCTTTCATGCTATATTAATGTAACCAACTATGCAATTCCAGCGCATATCTATTATTAGCCTTAATCCTTAAGTTTTGATTCTGATATCAAGCAGAATGCTGGTCTATGAATATGTGAATAATGGAAACATGGAACAGTGGCTTCATGGGGCTATGCAACAATATGGTACCCTTACTTGGGAAGCCCGAATGAAGGTTCTTCTTGGTACTGCTAAGGCGTAAGTCCTTTTTTTTCTTATTCTTTTTTCATGTATTAGTTTGGCCTTTGCAGTAGCAATGTCTATACATTCAAATTGAAAATTGTTTAAATATTTGGTTCAGGCTTGCTTATTTGCACGAAGCAATAGAACCAAAAGTTGTGCACCGTGATATAAAATCTAGCAATATCTTAATTGATGACGAGTTCAATGCCAAAGTTTCTGATTTTGGATTGGCCAAGCTCTTGGATTCAGGAGAAAGTCATATAACAACTAGAGTCATGGGAACATTTGGGTAATGTGTGCATTTCTATGTTAAAGTGCCTCTTTTTAAAATTTTCAATCATTTTAAGGTACTTTCTGACCAAACACCCATTTCTGAAAACTAATAAAATTGTCCTCCCATGTGAATTACAGTTACGTGGCACCGGAATATGCTAATACTGGCATGTTAAATGAAAAGAGTGATGTTTATAGCTTTGGTGTCCTCATGCTTGAAGCAGTGACAGGAAGGGATCCTGTTGACTATGGTCGGCCTGCAAATGAGGTACCAAATTGTTTAGGTCGAGTTTGGCAATTGTATTTTTAGTTGCTTTTTTAATTTTTTTGAATCTAAAAAGGCTGCTTTTTTGTTAATGGAAAAGTTGACTATTTTAGTTTTTTTTATCCAGCTTAAGACAGTCTTTTGCTTTTTGGCTTATTTAGCCAAAAAGCAGCTTTTTTAGCCCATGGCAAACCGGGCCCAAGTATCGGCTACTAGTATTAGCTATGTTTCTTGTGAACAGCCCCCCCTCCTCTTCCAAGGGTGTGGGGAGCTTCTTTGAATATTGAACATACTGTATTGCAAGTACTTTCCAATAACAAGCACTTCATATTTTCATGGCAGGTTAATCTTGTTGAGTGGCTTAAAATGATGGTAGGGAATAGAAGAGCTGAGGAAGTTGTTGATCCAAACATTGAAGTTCAACCCACAACACGTGCTCTAAAACGTGCCCTTCTGGTTGCAGTTAGGTGTGTTGATCCTGACTCAGAGAAACGACCCAAAATGAGTCAGGTTGTTCGAATGCTCGAAGCTGATGAATTTCCTTATCGCGAGGTGGTGATTATTTTCTGACATAGAAATAATAAGTTATTTACTTTGCTCCTTGCTATGATTTTTCTTATTGGCATTTTGGTAAATTGTTGCCCCCTCCCCTAAAATTAAAAAAAAAAAAAGTAGAAAATATATACAAGTGGAAGCAAATCAATTAATATGCATACCTTGACCCGTTTAAAGGAATCAAAGGATGTTTCATGCGCTCCTATGATACAGGAATCTCTTTGTTATAGCGGTAGAACACTGTTACAATAATTGAACAATGTTCTTGATTCCACAACCCAAGAACCTTTACACTCAGTGTATTTCTAGAGAGAGAAGAGAGATGCAGAAATATGTTGGGTCAAGGCATCTGGACTGAATACATTGATGACACATATGATTGCGGCATTATATGGGGGATAAGGGTGGGGGAACACTTGATTTTAATACTGTGCTTGATTGGGGATAAGGAGGGGGGATTATAGGTGGGGAACATTAGGGCTCTACATGCTCTTTAGTTCGACATTTTTTAACATGGTATAAAAATTCTGAATAACTTTAATACTGGTATGGGGAATAAATGGGAAAAATGAGGGACTAAATAATACATAGGAATTGTAGTATTCGAGGGATTAGGTCTCTCCGGATTATTTACCTCCTCCATCTGACGGTTGAAAATAATTGTATCTTTTTGTCATCCTAACCAAACAAATACCCAACTCCCTTCACCCCATCTATTTTTTTCATAGTATAACTTATCCCCCAAAATCCTATCCCTATTCAGTAATCTTATTATATATCAAATTCTTCATCCCATCTATGGCCACGTATAATTTATTGCCTACAATCCCATCAATTAGTTCATTCATATCCAATACGTGGTCTGGGTGTTTTTTCATACCCTCAACTCAAGGGACACAGCCCAATGAAAAGCCACCATGTAATGTTCACCATCCAATGGTTGTGACAATTTATTCAAATACCAACATAGAAAAATTGAGCACAAATAGATTTGTCAAAATTTAATAATCTTGGAAGTATTCATAATATGATATCTTGAGCAGGTACTCCTCCATAGTGAGGATTTTTGTGTTGAATGGCTGCTAAGGCATCACCTATTGACTAGGTTACATGGACTTAGGTATGTGTCTAGGTGTCTGATTCATCTAATTCCCATGTCCAAGGACACCGACACTCAACAAAATATTTCTTTTATTGTTTAGGATAGAATGGTGTTCACATGGTGCCATAGTGCATTTCATGCATAATATGATGGTTTTATGGTAAACTTGGATTACTAAATATGATTGCTATGTGAATGTCTAATTACACATTTAAACATACCCCATACCCTTATCGGTGAGCCGAGTGTCCAACACAAGTAGTTCATACATTTAGAAGAGTCCATGTAAAATAGCCTATTGACATTTGGTCAACTACTACATCGACACTTATGGAGGTGATAGAAATTGTGCAATTATTGTAGTTGTAGTATAGGACCTATTAGAAAGCACCAATTTTTTTTTATTGTTTTCTCATACAAGATGTCTTCATTTTTTATGCTTGCGGATGATGTCTATAGGTCGTGTGGCAATAGTTTGAATTTGACTCTTGGGACATTTTTCTTGGATTCTCAGCCACATTAGCCCCTAAAACGTGGGTGAGCTATATATTCAGATTTTACTCTCACACATTGGCATGTGGCTTTGTGCCTAGTTTTGGTTTGGGAGAGTTATCTCTGACATGAAGTATTTGAAACCTGGCAATTGTATACATGTCCATGGAACATTGATAACTATCCCAAATATTATCAACAAAATCCGAATCTTTAATGAAATATCCAAAACCATAGAGTAGAGATGTTCCCGGAGATGGAAGAATAAATTTGGCATTAAAGGAAATTTTTTTGATGAGTTCAACAAATCCTGTTAGGTCAACTACCAGTTGACTCACACATGGGGTCCATCTGTTACAAAAAAATTCTAAAGCAGGGGGGGGGGGGGGGTTCTTGGATATTCAGAGAAAGCGGGTGACAGGTCAGATAAATCCAAGAGGTTCCGGTCTAATTTGCCCATGAAAATATTACATCTGTAATAATGCACTCGTAGTTGCGCCTGTGTGTTGATCCTGGTTTTCGAAAAGCACCATTGTTACTTTCAGTTTTTCTAATTTTCTAGACTGCATTGATTTTCTATGGTAATTGAAATTTACCTGTTTTAATAATATTATCCACTATTATGTAATGAATGTAGAATTGAATATTATGGTGAATATTGTTCTGTTGTCAAGAAGCTCGTATTTTAGACTTGAACTATCTTGCACTGCAGGACCGGAGGAACAGGAAAAGCCGCACAGCTAGCATGGAAATTGAATCCATGAAGGAGAGTTGTGGTTCGGCTGACATGGAAAGCAGGGTAGAACAACAATCAGAGGGCCATCATATATCTGAGATGACTCATGGATACAACTGACTTGACAGACACATGACATGACCCCAGTGAATATTTCTCGCCTTCTTACCCTTCCAACATTAAAAATTTCAGTAACCCATGAATAGAAAATCGACATGCATTTTGACGTCTGTTTGTTTGGAGAAATTTCCTGCGTGTCGGAGAGCTACTGGATGAGGATAGCCCATATGAAATTCTCAAAGCACTAGCTGTTGTTTTGCTTCTGCCTTCGCCAGCATATAATGGTAGAGAGAGAGATGATTGTCATTCTTTTTGTCTTTTTTTCTTTTTTTTAATATTTTAAATTACTGGTCTTGAGGTGGTGAAAAACCCTAATTTGGTTTCACTTTTCCATTATTTCTTTTTCTTTTTTTGGTTTTATGTTTTTGTTTAAGGTGTCTTGTTTGTTAATTTATCCATTTGTGTAGTATCTATAAAAGTATTGAATCTAATCATTTCCTTTTTAACTTTATTGCATGCTTTGCTGCAGTAGAATGATGCTTACCACACGCTTGCTTTTTCTTTCCTTCTCATGTTTTTGCTATTACGTTACCAGCGTTGTGCTTCCGTGTGTATGTGTGTGTGTGTGTGTATAATGTATCTTACAACCAGGCAGAACACTATAACGTAGTGTAAGTTGGTGAAATTATTGTATTATAACTAGCTATTATAGATGCTTTAACAATCTATTTTAAAATAAAAGACGTTATGTTATGTTTGATTTATTAGAATAAAAGTGAAATAAAATAGAATGTTTATTTTTTAGTCTTTTAATGGAATGATCATTTTATTCTAATGGAAAGGTCAGGTAATTAAGTTTCAGTCTCCATAACATTTAGAGATTGTCACTAGAGGAAAAATTATCAGATGAAAAACAACACTTTAAAGGGATTAGTAACACACTTAGGTATTGTTTGGAGAGTAATTATTTTAGTTAAAAAGTCACTATAAGTTGTTATATCATTCTTTTTACTTTTCTGTATGTTTTTTTTGTAAAAAATTAAAAAATTACTAAAATAGTTTGTTTTCAAACGAGGTTTAAATGAGTTATTCTTTCTCTTAATTACTTGATAAAGATGAGTCATCATATTTTATTATTAAAAGTTTTTGCTTTTTGATTGATTTGGAGCATAGGGTTAGAGAGATTTGGAAAGACCAAAAAAAATGGAGAAAACAATTTATTTATATTTTATCCACTTTTCATTCATTTTTTTTAATATCTTATATCCTATTTAAATCTTTATTTAACTTTTTTTTTTTTTTTCTTTTTTTTATTATTATTAGTGAATAATTAAGAGAAGAAGGTAGTGTAGAACAGAAAGTGTAATATCTAGGTAGTGCCAGGTGGCACCAACCAGAGCCTCTGCAACCTTATCCCACAATCATAAATCTATCCTATCCTATCCAATATCCAAAAAAAACCCAGCCATTTCACTACTACCCCAACCTCCCTATCATACCCACATTACAATTCATACACTTGGAGGAAGGAAAAAAAAAATAGAGAGACCTAAAAATGGCTTCTACAGCATGTTTCTTGCACCACCATGCACTCTCCAACCCAACTAGAACTCAATCACAGCGTTATGTGCCAACCACCACCATCACCACCAAGCCCAACAGAGTAGTCTGCAAGGCACAGAAACAGGCTGTCCAAGAAGAGGATGGCGGCGCTGCCGATGCCGTGTCGAGGCGGTTGGCACTCACTGTGCTTGTTGGAGCTGCAGCCATTGGCTCCAAGGTTTCTCCTGCTGATGCCGCCTATGGCGAAGCTGGTATGGTTATTTTTAAAATTTTACCTCTACAAATCCTTCTACTATTTTTCTTCTTTCAAATACAGCCTAAAATTCGTTCCCCAAATCTAAGATACATGATTTCTCAATTAATAGAAAAATGAGAAATTTCTCAAGTTTCATAAAGTTTCAGTTTATGAACAAAATTGCAAAATTTCATAATTTTTGCATAGTAACTACGAAATTTCTCGGTAATTTTTTTTGTTTATCACATTCAATATTTATCTTGTCACTTCACAGCTCAGCACATACCAACAACATATAATAAACATAACGGACGCCCCATTAAGGGGCAAAACAGTCTAAATATTTTTAAAATTTTAATAACAGGACGTGGGATTGGTAGATAGGTGGCCCAACCTCTGTCTATCTATAAGTATTGTCTGTTAGTACTCAGCCTAACTGTCAGCCTACGAGTTGTTTATCTTTTTGGGCTCAAACCCAAAAATAAGTCCATCCTACATATCGTCCCAAAACCAAGGGGATTGGTATGTTTTTGGTTGTTATCTTGTTGAGTAAATCAATCTCAGTTTAAGTTATAAGTGGTGGTGGTGGTGATGATGGTTGATTTTGCAGCCAATATATTTGGGAAGCCAAAGACAAATACAGATTTCTTGCCATACATTGGAAATGGATTCACGGTTCAAATTCCAGCAAAATGGAACCCAAGCAAAGAGGTGGAGTTTCCTGGTCAAGTTCTTAGGTACGAGGACAACTTCGATCCCAACAGCAATGTCTGTGTCATGGTCACCCCTACCGACAAGAAATCTATCACCGACTTCGGCTCTCCTGAAGATTTCCTCTCCAAGGTTTGTACAGCCCTGGGTTTTTAAATATCAAGATTTTGAACTTCACATATTCATATTCACCATATATTGGCCGATACTATCAGATAGTGTCAGTATCGTTATTTAACATCATGCTTTCTTTCTCTTAAATGTTAGCCAACTTAAAAGGCTTCAAGGCTTATTTATATCTTGATCTCCACAGGTGGACTATTTGCTAGGGAAACAAGCCTACTCCGGCAAAACCGAAGCCGAGGTACCTTCATCGAAGACTGTTAAAACTACTTTTTATTTATTTCTTTATTTATTCATTTTTAACACCTACAATGATTGAGACTCCTATTTTTTAGAAACCCTTACAATCCTTTTTGGATCTCCAAGATTGATAGTAGGACGCACACATATATAAGTAGATCCTACACATACATCAATGGTGAAAATCCAAACAGGGTTGTGGGGGTCTCCAAAAAATGGGAGTCTCAAATTTTTCTTTTAACACAAGGTAAGGTAAGATGTTAAGGGATGTTTGCAGTTCGGCTGTGATTGGAAAATTTTAAATTCGGCATCCATTCATTAGATTGACGGATTGAAAAAAAATTAATCTGCATCCGGTTGCTGGATTGGCGGAGACAGATTAGCGGATGGATGCGAATTGGTTTAGCGGTTTAAACTTTTACAAATTTTGAACATAATACAACATTTTTTTTGGATAACAATCTAAATCAACATAATCAAAAGATTATCAAGCAAATTGTCAAATACCAATAATAAATACATATAAGAAAACTATACATTATCAAAACTATTTCATTACTATTTTTTTATTTAAAAACTATTTAATTTTATTTTTTTATTTTTTTAAATGACAACATTAAGCCTTATATGTTTCATACAAAAATATCAAATATCAACACTTGTCATTTGATAGAAGGATTTCCAAATTGAAAACACAACAAAATATCCAAATTCTTTTTCAATTGAAAACACAAACAAAATATCTAAACAAATATTAAGGGCTGCTCGCGGTTTGGAAGTTCGGTTGCAATCAAAGAAATCTCAAATCCATCATGCATCCAAAACTAAGCGGAACCGTCCACTTGTCATTATGCATTTTTCGTCCAAAATGCTGCAAATTAGTTGAATTCGATCGATTTATATATATTAGAATATCCATTAAACAAGTACGTGTCCCATCGAGATCACTTGGCTGTGGTCTGAGTCAAACTATTTGATGTTTACCAGAAACATAACTGGAAATGAGGCAAACACAGCCTCAACCAAATTCACTTTTGTATCCATCATGGAGTATGAAAATTGAAATTTGATGATGATGATTTTTTCAGGGTGGTTTCGAACCGAATGATGTAGCAACTGCTAATATATTGGAGACTTCAACTCCGGTGGTTGGAGGCAAACCCTATTACATCATAAGTGTGCTGACAAGGACTGCCGACGGAGATGAAGGCGGCAAACACCAACTGATTACCGCCACCGTCTCCGGCAGTAAGCTTTACATCTGCAAAGCCCAAGCTGGTGACAAGAGATGGTTCAAAGGAGCTAAGAAGTTTGTTGAGAGTGCTGCAACTTCTTTCAGTGTTGCTTAATTTATATTTCTCTTTCTATATATATATATATACATTGATCAAATGTGGATTTGTATTTTGTAATTTGGTTGAGTTGTATGGAACCTTGTTCCCCCCAAATTTTAGATCTGTTCAAGTGAATGTGGATATTTCTTTGCATATCAAGACCCTCCACTAATTTTAAGTCAACTTTCTCCTTGGTTCTACAACAAATATAAAAATCATTGACAGAATCAATACAGAATACACTTCTATAGCTAAGATTTTTATCTTTTTATATACAATATGTATTTGATTCTGTAACAGATTTCTGAGTTTCTAAACTTGCGCTTCTCCCATAAACATTGTGCCACCAATTTCGTGCGAGAATCTTTTGGAGTCCAAATCTGTGCACATTAGAGAGACTCTCTTCTTGAGGTCTTAAAAACAAAACCCTCACACTTTGCACATTGCTGTAATTTCAGCAAGTTTTTAAAAAAAATTAATTTTTTTTTACTTTTTAAATTCGTTACTTAATCTTGATATACTTAATAAGTATAAAATTTATATAAAAATCAATAACAAATTATTGGGCAAATTACATATACACCCCTCCAGGTTTGACAAAATTACAGATACCCCTGAGGTTTGAGAAATTACGAATTCCCCCCTGAATGCTATATTTGCATAAGAAATTAGGGGGTAATTTGTTATGAAATATAAACCTCAGGGGGTAAATTGTTATGAAAATACAAACCTCAGGGGGCGGGATGTAATTTCCGAAACCTCAGGGGGGTATCTGTAATTTAACCAAAATACAAAAACATATTAAATTTTTATATTTTTTTTGTATGTAGTGAATTTTTTTTTTAAATTTACAAATATTATACTTATTAAATATATGCAGATTAAGTATAACTAAAATATAAAAAATAAAAATATGTAAAAGTTTAAAAAAATTTATTAAAAACAAAAACTACGAAAAATAAAAAATTCAATTTTCAAAAAAAGTGTAAACTAAACAAAGTCAACATTATATCAGTGTACGTGAAAATGAGGCATCTTCTTTCCTTTTTCATTTTTTCTAAGAAACACATTGGGCAACTAGAGACATGTAGCATAGATAGATAGTAAAGACTAAGGAGGAATCAATGCATGTTAAAACATGAAATGTTACAAAAATTTATTTAATAAAAAGAAGGAAAAAAAAAAAAAGCAAGCAAGAGCTCAAAATTCAAGTCATCCATTTGTGAGAGCTCAAAATTCAAGTCATCCACTTGTGAGAGTAAAATTTCATCCAAGCAAAGCCTAGGAAGGCTTTGTCCATTGAGTCTTATTTAACCCAACATATGAGTGTACTCAACATGCTTTCACCAAGCTTTCTACTTCAGTCAAAAATTTATGAAATAATAGAGTTGTTTCAATATTTGAAGGTGAGCTAGTTATCGACAACCTCAATTAGGGTAGTCTCGTAATCAGTAGGAGCCACGAGTCCATGGAGATTCATCACGGTTGCAGCCACATTGGCAAGCCCGCCATCAGGAACATCCTTGCGGAATCTTACGCCAGGTGCCAGCCCAGGACCTCCAATTGCAAGAGGCACCTAGAAACAAAAATAATATATTTACAAAAAAAATTAACCACACACGAACAAATCTAAGAATATAGGATATATTAACCAGGTATTGCTTGCATGCTAAATAGTCCACACATGAACAAATGAGATGCAACCACCAAGGTGTCCCCTATATAGGGTTGCAAATGAAAAAAGCTGAACAACTTGAACTTGACTTGCTCAAGATTCACTTAAGGTCAGCTCATTTGCTAAATTGTTCAAGGTCGGCTCATTTGCTAAATGGGTGAGCTTCAATTGGTTCATTAAGACAAGAATATATATATATATCATATATCAAATATATTTCCTTTAATTTATTTTATTTCTCTATTAATGTTCGATGTTTGTGCAAATGAACATATTTTGATTGATGAAATTTATTAATAACATGACCCTTTTTTTATATATTTCACTCATAATCTTCTCTTCTTCTTTTTTTTTTCCTTCAATGTGCATATTAATTTAACTTTTAACTTTTTTTTGCAAGCTCAAGCTTGGCTTGATTATGTAATCAAGTAGACTCGAGTCGAGTTCAAGTTCCTCAAATCTTTGACGAGCCAAGCTCGAGCTCGATTCTTTAAGCTCAACTAGAGCTCGGCTAGCTAGAGCTTCACTAATTTTTAGCAAGCTGAGCTCGAAAACCACAAAGTTCAACTCATTTGCAGCCGTACTGGCCATAGGCTATTTTATATTTTATATTTTTATTCTATATTTGTTGATAAAAAATGAACAGCTCGTTATACTTAACTGGTTCAAGAGTGTGAGAGGTCAATATTTGAATCTGGCCATTCTTGTCAAGTTGAGGCTCCCCCTTCTTGTTCCTTTTCACCATGTCCTCAGCATTTCCATGATCAGCGGTAACAACATATATTCCACCCACTTGCTCTATCGCATCAAGGATCATCTGCACAATTAGATTTAATAAAAAATAAATATAAATAAAAATAAAACTTCTAAAATGGAGACAATAAGAAAGGTTAGAAGGGCTCCCCACCCCTCAATGTATATCACAAAATAAAACCAGAGATAAGGCAGCTTTGGCAAATACACATATATGATATCCATATATGATAATAGAACTTTGGAAACATTAAAAAAACAGAGAATCGTATACTCATATACCAGAGAATCAATCCCATAAAATTGACCCATCATACTAGTTCAGGCAAGTCATTTACCCTAATTTGAAATCAATAATCAGCAAAATAATTTGCAAAAAAAAATTTGTTTAAATTTGTACTTCTTGATAATTGTTCACAATATTTTGTTAAAAGAGTGCACAATTTTCATAAATGACTTGTTTCTTTCAACAAGTTTTTATGTTAAATTAGTATACACAATATAATTCAGCTTTTTTTTCTTTTGTTTTTTTAAAATGCCATGGATGCTCTTTTCCATGTATTTTTGTTGCTTTCACACTCGAGAGAAAGAGGCCATGAGAGAAAGAGCCACAAATCAGGAAAGGGGATTTCTTCTCCCAGCTACAATTTAATATATACAATACACAAACATCTATGAAGCACCAACAATTCAAATCAAGTGCCGTATCCGTATCGGATACACAGGCACTGGGGGGACACGCGTACACTTCAAAGACGCGTATGGGACACATCACATTGCATGTCCCCTTATTTAATTAATTTGTTTTCACGGGACATGCCGGGGACACTTCGAAGACACTAGGGACATGCCAAATTATCTTTTCTCCCATTTTACTTCGTGCTTTTGATGAATGTTGAATGTGTATTATTTTTTTTCTTAGATTTAAATAGTTAATAAACCATCCATAAAATAAGATATAAAATGTAAGTGTTAATTTACAAGTATTTTTTTAAAATAAAAATAATAAAATTAGAGTTAATTTTTGTTAATATTGATTGTTTGTGGATGTAATATTAATCTTGATAGCAAATAAAAATATATAAAAACATATTTTATTGTCGTGTTCCCGCCGTGTCTGTGTCCCTATTTTTTTGAAATTATTGTGTCCCGTGTCCCGTGTGCGTATCCATATCCATGTCCGCATCCGCATCCGCATCGGTGCTTATTAGATAGACATATATATTAGATTCTTCTAATTGTGTCTTCATTTAAACCTGATTTCAGATGTACTCTCATTGACCGTGTTGTAACCTCACCAGGTCGTACAAGTCAATCTAAAAGCGAAGGCAAAGAGTGCTTGTCTAATCCAAACCATTACAAACCACAGTTGTTACACAAATGAACGATACAAGAGTAGTAGAAATTCAGAGCCATCGTACCTTCACAGCTTCATCAGCAGCCTTGCAAGCCACAACAGTGGCGTCAATGTCACCTGTATGGCCCACCATGTCACTATTTGGTAGGTTAACACGTACCTACAAGAACATTCAAAATATATGATAATCCATTCTTTGTTCAGTTTCAGTTGTGCCCATTAGATATGAATCAAAGCAAACAATAAGTTCATCAATTACCTGGAGATATTTGCGGCTCAGAATAGCATCCCTAGCCTTCTCTGAAATTTCCAAGGCCTTCATCTTTGGTTTCACGTTAAATGTAATTCCAGAATCGCTAGGAATTTCAACATATTCTTCCATGTCTGAATTAAAATACCCAGAGCGATTTCCATTCCAAAAGAAAGTGACGTGCCCAAATTTGACAGTCTCACTGTTGAAGGAAAAAGAAGGGGGCAGTTAAATATATAGTTCAAAAAGTTGGCAAATGATGAAGCTATATAAAAGAATACAAAACAGTTTGAGACAATGCCAAATCTTGACACTTGACAAATATTTATGATTTTTACTAGCTGTACACTTACCTGCAAGCAAACGTAGACACGCCATTATGGACCAAATATTCACCAGACGTCCTCTCTATCTCTGGGGGAGAAACAAGGTACTTGCTTGGAAGCTTCAACTCCCCGTCATACTCAAGCATTCCAGCATAACGAATTTTAGGGAATCGAACGCGATCAAATTTGTCAAAGTCTTCATATTCAAGTGCCTTAGCAAGCATAACCATACGATCTGCTCGAAAGTTGAGAGTCACAACAGCATCACCATCCACTACAGGACCAACTGCTTTCCCGCTCTCATCAACAATAACGAAAGGAGGTAAGTATTGATCGTTGGCACCCTCCCTCAATTTCTTGACCGCTTCAACAGCACTCTTAAACTTATGTGGGGCTTCACCAAGAACTTGGGCATCCCATCCTCGTTTCACAACACCCCAGTCATTCTGCACAAGAACCAGTAGTAGTTATTTAATTTCATATTTGAGACAGCTGAATAAGAGATATGCAAAATAGGATAAATAACAGTACAGTAGTAAGTGGCAGATAGAACGTGATTGAAACATAAGATAACTTGTGTTATGCGATGTAGCCCGGACTTCAAGGGAATTTCTTCCAACACATAAGAAAACTTGTGTTATGCGATGTAGCCCGGACTTCAAGGGAATTTCTTCCAACACATATGGGCAAAAATAATATGTTCATTTCTTTATGAGATAGAAATAGAAGAAATGAAAGAACGAGAATAAAGAAGATAGGAGAATAACGGAGAACACAGAGAGAAGAGATATAGGGGAGACAAAGTAAAGAGAAACAAGAAAGATGGAGAGGAGTTAATGGGAGAGGGATAGAGAGCAAAGCTCTTGCAAATAGCCCAGTGTGTCAGAATTCTGCTAAATCAATAGATCCTCCATGAGGGTGATGCTAAACAATGAATGAAACAAGCGACCTGGGTATCATCACTTTCTAATAGAAAATTCAATGAAATGAAGTAATGCATGCAAATTACAACCACCTCTAACAAGTCTAGCCCCAAAAATAGAAACCTTACGAACAGTTTTAATCCAACACATTAGAAAGCACTATATTCAAATATATACCTCATAACGATCCATTGTGACATACATCCGGCCTCCACCAGATGCAATCTGGGCATCGACACCCTTTTCACGTAATTTTGAGAGATCATTCTCAAGGATTTCCACAAAGCCTACACTTGAACCATCCAAAACATCGCGGCCATCTGTAAGAATATGAACACGAATTCTTTTGGCACCACGTTCGCTGGCACCTTTTAGCAACAACTGCACCCATAACGAATAACAAATTCATCAAGTGACTATGAAATGAAATGAAAAGTACCATATCAAAAAATAATCAAAGTCAACCAAAAGAAGAAGAAAATGACCTGCAACTGGTCAAGTCGAGAGTGTACACCACCATCACTCAATAACCCAATGAGGTGCAATGTGCCAGTTGCAAAAGATTCCTTAATATAACTAAATCCTTCTCCATCATAAATTTTGCCAGAATCAAGGGCAAGGTCAACCAGTTTTGCCCTACATATAGAAACAAATTCAAAAAGTCAATTACCCATTTTTGTTTGCACAAAAATTACAAATTGGCAAGGACAAATTATAAACAACCATACAAACGATAAATGGAAAGATAACTACTCAGTAGTACAGTAGTACTAGGAATTAACTGGCCTTAAATTCTTGAACAATGAGGTAAGGAATTTATAATCATGCTGGAAAAGACACAAGTAATAACCACAAAGCTAAGGCATGCTGCATCCATATGGGGTAGGCGAAACCCGTCAAGCGAATCCATCATAAATTTGGGTAGTGTAAGAAAGGTTAACTTGAGCCCACTAATTAATTGGGCCCAATCAAAGCCCAATTGGAAAGCCCAAAAATTGGTGAGCTTGGAGAAATTATTGCCAAATGGGCTAAGTAAATTTAATTGAACGGGCCCATAAGTCAACAAATTAGGCTGAGGAAGACCCATCAAGCAGATATATCTAAAGAGAGTCCAACAAACCCATCCGAAGAGGCCCAAATCATACGGGCGTTCTAGAAGGTTAACCGTTGCTTTCAGAAAAGATGAAATCCTCGGAGGAGATCCATTCTCCGAGGTATTGGCTTAGTCTTGAAAGGGTTCGAAACCACGAACCTAGAGACCTATTTGAGCTCGGACTCGAAAAGGTTTGGATCTACGAACCTAGAGATCCGAAGCACTTGGCTTCGAACGGATTCGGACGCAATCTAGAAGCCGCTCTATTAATGAGTCCCAAAACACTTGCGTGCTCGGAGCTTTTCAAGATCTACGCACCAGAACCATGGGCGTGTTAGACTCCGAACAAAAGACCCGGTCCCGAAGACAGTGAGTGGAGATAAATTCACTCTAGAGATAAATTCACTCTTCGGCTAAACTAGCCTATACCCAGGTCGAGGTGGCACAATCTAAGAGGTCCTTGAGACTCGGCAATATTTGTGACATGGCGTCCTTTGGGACTACCTCTGACCCTTTGGGATGATTGGGAATCATTTATTAGGTGTGGCTAAGAAGAAGGGTTCGCCGAGAGATTGATCTCCTCTTCGGGGTTTTCCTCATCCTCAGAGAGGTCATCTCCTCGGACAAGGTAGTTAGACGGAATATTTCCCATATGCCTTATACATGGACTCCATCCTAGATCATGAGGTGTCTATAAATAGCACCCACCCATATCTTTACGATGGATGAATTTTGGAGAGATATTTTTTGGGAAAGAACTAATTTCCCTTCTCCATTATCTACCTTGAGAGTGAAAGTGAGAGATCTATGGGAGAGCCTTGTCATTATTCTCTCTCTAATTATTTTCCCTTCTTCTTCACCCAATCTCTTATCTCCATCATCTCTTTGCCATTGTGTTTCTAGTTGCGACCGTTGAAGAATCTAAGCCTCTCATCATTTTTAGAGAATTCGAGTTTTCTTTAAAGATTTTCGAATTTTTAGACCACATTCTTAAACCCTCTCATACATTTGGCGACTCCACTGGGGAGGCGGATTGGTTAATGGTCTCAACAAGATCCGGAATCTATACAACTCCGGTGGAGAGCTTTTGCCGAAGAAGGACCGCAAAGGCCCTAATTATTATGTTTTCCACCGATCACTAGGATATCCTACAGAAAAGTGTTGGACGCTTAAAAAGATTTTTAGAAAGAAAGTCGAAATAGATGAGCTAGAGTTCAAAGAACATGGGCCTCATGATATCTTAGAAGATGTGGCTATGATGGCGTATGACAGCCACAGCCCGAGTAACTGGTGAAAGTTTTCTGAATGACCTTGCAACTCTAGGAGCAAATGTCAACATTCCATAGAATAAGTCTATCTATGACATTTACAATTTGTATTTACTGCACTGTCTAAGAAGTTTTATCTTTCTTTCTTATATTACGAAGAAATTTATTTTCTCCACATTGTGTATCTCTATTAGAAGTTTATTTTCTCCATATTGTGTATCTTCATTATGTTATGTTGCTTGAGACAATTTTTAATTTTTTATCGCCCCTTGAGGAAGAAGAAGTAGACTCGGTTGCTTGCCAGGAAGAATCTTTATTGCCAAAGAAAGGAGTGTGCTTCCACTCTGACTTCCAAGGGACAGCCCTAGCTTCCATTTGGACTTCTGAGGGACAACCTTTGTTTCCATCAATGCGAGCTTCGAGGATCTTTCTTTTTGAAGTAGAGTGTGTGCTACCACTCAGACTTTCGAAGAACAGACCTCACTTCCATTAGTGCAAGCTTCAAGGATCTTTCTTACTGAAGTAGAGTGTGTGCTCTCACTTTGACTTCCGAAGAACATCCCTCAAGACTCAGTTGCCTGTCAGAAAGGATCTTTCTTGCTGAAGTAGGGTGTGTGCTATTATACAGACTCATGAGGGACAGCCTTGCTTCCGTTCGGACCTCCGAGGGACATCTCTTGCTCTCATTAGTGTGGGTTCGAACTTTCGAGGGACAACTCTTGCTTTCATTTGGACTTCCGAGGGACATTCCTTGCTCTCATTAGTGTGGGTTCAGACTTCCGATGGACAACCCTTGCTTCCATTTGGACTTCCGAAGAGCAACTCTTATTTCATCAATGCAAGCTTCGAAGATCTTTCTTGTTGAAGTAGAATGTGTGCTCCCACTCAAACTTCCGAAGAACAACCCTCGCTTTCATTAGTACAAGCTTCAAGGATCTTTCTTGTCAAAGCACAGTGTACTGCTACCCCGGACTTCCAAGAGATAGCCTTTGCTTCCATTAGTTGCCGAAGTAGAAGTGTACTCCCACTAGAACTTCCGAGGGATAGACTTTGCTTCCATTAGTTGCCAAAGAAGGGAGTGTACATCCACTCAGACCTCCAAGAGACAGCCTTGTTTCCGCTTGGACTTCTGAGGGACAGCCTTGCTTTCACTCGAATTTTCGGGAGACAATCTTTACTTCTGTTGGTGCAAGCTTGGTAGACTCAATTGCCTTCCAGAGGGATATTTTTTATCGAAGCAGGATGTGTGCTACTATTCGGACTCCTGAGGAACAGCCTTGTTTCTGTTCGGACTTCCGAGGGATAGCCCTTACTCTCATTAGTGCTGGTTCTGAGGGCCCCGAGGTCGTGGACTTCGTACAAGAATTCATTTTCCAAGTATACAAGATTCAAGTTGGTTATTCTCTCTCGGATTACAGTATTCAATATTAAAGACTTGGTTTATACAAGGCTCTGACTCCAGACAGAGTAAGTTGAGTAGCAAATTTCAAGCCCAAGATCTGAAACATTTTTATTTGAATATTATATTTCTCATCCATAGCAAGATTCAATAGATGGTCATACAAATTGCAAGAATATCTCTCTAGTCAAGGTTTACAATCCAAAATTTCTTTCGCAGAACAAAATTAGCAAGGATTCAACATTGATTGTTCCAATATTCACAACGGAAAAATCAAGTTCCCTTTATGAAGATGTGCAACAACAAAAATTTATGGGTTACATTATCCAGAATTTTATTTTACACAAATCAAAGTTTATACAAATAAGGAATTCAAAAATGGGTTTCAACAAATAGTTACTCACAGATTTGGAGGAGCAAAATATATGAAGCTAGCTAGGAGAGGGGTTGAACCAGCACGAACCGAAATCTGCAAGCTAAGGCCGATGCCCATCAAGAAAGACAGCAGGGGGCAGCGTCGGAGTGAACTAAGACCGAGATCTTCGATGACGAACTGTACGATGCGAGGCAAGACTACGCATGTTGCGTTGAGTGGGCGACGTGAGTAGTCGTCGTTGGACAATCGAGGCCAAAAGCAGCGGTGATGTCGCAGGGGAGTTGGCGTCAGCACTGGTCAGCAACAACAGCGACAGTGTGCAAGCCCAGCAGAAGCGAAAGAGAAAGGACGAAAAGAGTCAGGCCGCAGTGGTCTTCAGTGGGTGCGAAGGCAAGACGAAGGTCTAATATATTGTTTCGAAATAAGGAAAAAAATATTGAAGTCTGGGTCTGTGCTCTTCTCTCTCAATTTACAAAGCAAGAAAATGGAGTTTTGGCAATATAAAAAAAAAAAAAAGGACAAGGTCTTTGTCTTTTACTGATGGTCTCTCAAATAGGCTACGTATATTTATGTACAGTGGGCCTTCAATACTTTAGTGAGAGAAACGAAAATGTGTATTGAATGTTGACTTGTTCAAAACAAATAAAATAAAATAAAAGAGTTTTGATGGTTGCTTTTTTTTATTATTATTATTTTATTTTTTATTCAGTCAAAACCTTAGTTGCAGGAATCGTGCTAACAGGTAACGAATCTTCGTAAGAAACGCGATTCCGCATTTCTTAGAAAGAAACGTGTAGAAATCGCGTTTCTGTAGAGAGAGAAACGCGATCCTGTCCAAGATGGGATCGTTGGTGAAGAAGAACAGAGACCCCAGCTTGTTGGTCAACAAAGAGAGAGGAGAAAGAAGGTGAAGAAGAACCTGATTGTGTCTGGGTATGTCCTTTGCTTTGTTTTTCTTCTTCTTTCATCACTTCGAAGGTCGTCTCTCTCTCTCTCTTTGTTTTTCGTCTCTATCGCAGTTCGTCTCTCTCTATCTCTCGCAGATCGTCTCTCTCTCTGTGTTTTTCGTCTGTCGCAGTTCGTCTTTCTCTATCTCTCGCAGATCGTCTCTCTCTCTCGCAGATCCTCTCCTTGCTGATCGTCATCGTCTCCTCTGCCTTCTCTCACTCGCACTCTCTCTCTCTGGCCTTCTGTTCAGTCACGATATATACGTAATATATAAGTAAAATATATAGATATATATATAAAAGATAAAACATATAAAATCTTTAAATAAATATATATATTTAAAAAATAAAAAAAATAAAAAACATTAACACATTATTATTTAATATATATCATATATATACATATAAATATATAATAAAAAAAATAAAAATATTTTTTTGTCCAATTTTGAACATAAATTAACTTTAAGAGTAAACTAAAAAAAAGTTGTGACATAGGCCCCGTTTGGTATAACTATTAAAATAGATTATAAATTATGACTTTAATCAAAAACTGTTAATCTGTTTGGTGTAACTATTGAATTATTGATTTAAGTTACTGAGTAGTGTTTGCTAAATAAGTTGTGAAGTAGTTTTTTTAATTAATTTTTATTTTTTGTTATTCATTACTTGTCCTAATGTGTATTAAAATATATATATATATATATATATTACCGCTTCCCGAGGCGCTCCCAACCTAAGAAACTTCTATCAGCTCACGCTTCATCGCTCCCGCTCCGTGCAACTAAGGTCAAAACTATTGAGAATTGTTTATGGTCTTCAAGAGGAAGCTGGAATCAAAATGATGATGAAAAGTTAAGCAGGCCTAAGCAAAGGTAAAAATAAAAAAAATAAAAAAAATTCAAGTTTTGATTTTCTTTATAAAAAAAAAAAAATCAAAGGCACAAAAATGTGTTTGCCAAACATGGCATAAGGATAAAAGATTCTTTCTTATCAATATTAGTTGACAATCTTATCCATAAAATTATGATGAGTCATTAATCTTATCCAAAAGCCACATGACGACAACATATTCCCGAGGGTGTGATGCGAAACATAGCCGAAGAAGGGAAAATATGCACGTCTAAGAAATTCAAAAGGGGCAAAAATGTAAGAGGGGTTAACTTGAGCACACTAATTAATTGGGCCAAATCGAAGTCCAATTAGAAAGCCCAAAAATTGGTGAGCTTGGAGAAATTATTGTCAAATAGGCCAAGTGAATTCTATTGAACGGGCCCACAAGTCAACAAATTAGGCCAAAGAAGGCCTACCAAGCAGATATCTCTAAAGAGAGTCCAACAAATCCATCCGAGGAGGCCCAAATCATACGGGCTTTCCAGAAAGTTAATCGTTGCTTCCAAAAGAGATGAAACCCTCGAAGGAGATCCATTCTCTGAAGTATTAGCTTAGTCTTGAAAGGGTTCGAAACCACGAACCTAGAGACCTATTTGAGTTCGGACTCGAAAAGGTTCGGATCTACGAACCTAGAGATGCGAATTCGGACGCAATCTAGAAACCGCTCTATTAATGAGTCCCAGAACACTTGCGTACTTGGAGCTTTCCGGGATCTACACACCAAAACCATAGGCATATTGGAGTCCGGACAAAGGACCCAGTCCCGAGGACGGTGAGTGGAGATAAATTCACTCTTCGATTAAACTAGCCTATACCCGGGTCAAGATGGCACGCTCTAGAGGATTCTTGAGACTCGACAATATTTGGAGCAAGGCGTCCTTTGGGACTACCCCTGACCCTTTGGGATGATTAGGAATCATTGGTTAGGTGTGGCTAAGAAGAAGGGTTCGCCAAGAGATTGATCTCATCTTCGGGGTTTTCCTCATCCTCGGAGAGGTCACTTACTCAGACAAGGTAGTTAGAGAGAATATTCTCCATATGCCTTGCACATGGGCTCCATCCTACATCATGAGATGCCTATAAATAGCACCCACTTAAAACTTTACAAGGGATGGATTTTGAAGAGACATTTTTTGAGAAAGAACTAATTTCCCTTCGTCATTATCCACCTTGAGAGGGAAAGTGGGAGATCTTTGAAAGAGCCTTGCCGTTATTCTCTCTTTAATTACTTTGTTTTCTTCTTCACCCAATCTCTTATCTCCATCATCTCTTTGCTATTGTGTTTCTAGTTGCGACCGTTGAAGAATCTAAACCTCTCATCATTTTTAGAGAATTCGAGTTTTCTTCAAAAATCTTCAAATTTTTAGACCACATTCTTGAACCCTCTAGTGATTTGGAAACGGAAAGAAAAGTAAGCAAAATATTAATGAAGCATAAGTTACTTTTTCTTCTTCATTTCACTCATCTCTTCCTTTTCCTTTCGAATCCTTACTCAAATCATGATCCAATCATAACCTTAGCAACCAAAATTGATGGTAACATATTTCTAAAAAAATCTATGTAAATCACATTGGGACATCCAGTATAACTACAGTGCTTTCAAACATTAAATCAGAAAGTCCATAATAAATATTAAAAAAAAAAAGCGCACACACACACACACAAGCCATACCCTTGAGCAAAAATCCTCCCAGCACCAAGAGCATTGTGACCCACTTCACTGTTTCCCATATCATCCTCTGTGGGAAGCCCTACAGCCTTACCATGTGCCCTCACCAATCTCCACTTATCAGGAGCACCCTTTTCATACAATACACAGACCAAACATCAATACATACAAATATAGGGAGAGATAGAGAGAGAGATCAAGAGAGACAGAGAGAGAGAGATACAGTTTTTAGGGAATCCATGGTGGGAGTCTCAGCGACATGGATACAGTTATACTTATTGGGATTTGCTTCGCCCCACCCATCCAAAACCACCATAGCCAAGATCTTCCCCTTAGGGAGCTTTGGGTGATCTTCGAGTTTCCATGAAAATCCAGAGCTACCCATTTCTCTCTCTATCTAGTCGACTCGAAAACCTTCACAATCACACTCAAAAACCAAATCTGAAAAACAAAAACAAAAACAAAAACAAAAACAAAAACAAAATCAAAAATCAAAAGAAACAACCGATCATTCAATCATCAGATCCAAAACAATGATGCATATATATAGCATATTTTCTATATCTAGAAATCTAGAGAGAGAAAAACAAGCACGAAAACCTTGGGTATGCAAACGAACAGCGCAGAGAGAAAAGCGAAGAAACAAAAGCGAGAGAGAGGGGGACCACCGATCGGAGTTTTATAGTGGGAAGAGAAATAGCTTTTGTGTCTATGAGAAGTTTCGAACTCGTGACGTTTGGTTAAAAAGTAGCTACATTGTCCCAAAGAAGGCACGTGTTGTAACATGTGATATCTAACTAAAAGAGAATATGCTAATTTGTTATGCCCTTTTTAGTTTGTTGGGTTAAATCAAATTAAGGTAAATTGTAAATACGTACCCTTTAAGCACGTGATAATTGCATGTTTTTCCTTTGTTGTATTCAAAATTGCAAAATTTTCTCCTTATTATAGTTTTGTCTTTTAACAAAAAATAATTGCATAGTTTTGCCTTATTATATTTCAAGTTTTTTTCAATTTATTTTTAAAATTAATTTTTATTCAAAAATTAGGCAAAAAATCACATTAGCTATTACATAACATAAAAATATATTATTATATTGAGATTTTGGTTTGCGTCAAATGTGTAAGTTATATATAATAAAATACTTTTATGCCATGTGACTATTAATGTGTCATTTTTTGTCTAATTTTGAACATAAGTAAATTTTTAAACTAAATTATGAAAATTTTGAAACATGAAATGCCAAAATTAAGAGAGAGAAAAACTTTCCAAAAATAAAAAAGAACAAAATGTTATTTGCTGATTCATTTTTCCTTTCAATTTATCTATTTTTTTGTTCATAATTTTTTTTTTTTTTTAAGTTCAAATAAATATCACAAACAAGCGTACTTGAGGGGAAGCCTTCAAAATGAAAAGGTTTTGTATACTAATAGAGAGTAGTATGTGGTATTACTTTTTATAATTACAAATATATGTCTCTTATTGTTCTTCAAACGCCCAACATAAATGTAGTGGATTATACTGTCAAATCTAATTACAATTGCAAAAAGTACCACATGACATATACTCTATCTGCATACAAAAATTACTCCTCTAAAATATATTAATCAAGTAAAATTGTTGCCAAAATGTGCATAGCTCATTTTATAGGGAGAAAATAAATTTCTAAATTATTAGGAAACATGTTCTGACTCAATTATTATGTTTCTAAACTTTATTCACACTTTTGGTCTTCTAGTGGGTTTATGCACTAGTCATAATTTCATGTTTGCTAAATTTGGAAAATTTTAGACTTAGAATTATTTAGTTTCATATTTTATTTTCGGGCAAATTATAAAAAATAAAAAATAAAAAAAAAACCCCAAAGTTTTGCATTCAAATTAAACTCCAAGGTTTTGATTGCATCAATTTAAACCCTAACTTTCTTATTTCGTATCAATGTTAACCATCCATCCATCTTTGTTAACTTGTTTGACTGGAAAAAAAAATTAATGCACATGTGGCACATTTTCATTCGCTCATTTCACTTAATATTAATTTTATATTTGAACATGATCACACCATATCAATACCAACATAAATTTATCATCTATTACATCAGAGCCATTCATCATATACTTACCATGAACTTCAATCCATTGTATCAAAATGCATGCAGTTTCTCACCTTCTCCTTTTTTCTTCTTCTTCTATGGGCATCGACACATAGTCACCACCCTCAGCCTTCCGCCCCCACCCCTTGCTCAACTCCACCATCACCAACTCTCTTAGATCCACCACACCCAACCCTCTACCTCCATGTACTTCCCTCAGATCCTTCATTAATAACCCTCATCTACTATCAATCTCCACTGCTACCATCCCTTCCAGATCTATCACTCCATGCTACAATCTCCATCAAATCCACCATCACTAGCCTTCTTTCACCACCGCCTCCCTTAGATCATCAACTACCAACCCTTCATTACCAATCTCTCTATCACATTTGTCATCCATCAAATCTGCTATCGCCAGTTCTTTCCAGTCACTACTATCTTAGATTTGCCACCCCTATTTTAGATCCAAAACAAAAAAGGGAATGAGTTTTTTACTATTTTTATTATGGAATTATGGCGAAGTTATGGAATTATGATAGACAAAAGTGAAAGCAAAAAGATAGAGAGAAGATAGAGGGAATTTACATGCTTCATTATGTTGGCATAAAGGCCAATATATAGACTACAAGATGGTGAATATAAACAAAAATACAACTTAATGCATATCTAACATATCTAACTTGGCAAGACTTTATGGCCAAGAGTTGCACACTTTCTAACACCCTAGTTATAAGCTTTATGAAAAGTTTTCTATAAAAGTAAATACAAAGAGACAAAATGGTTAAAGAAAAAACTACAATTATTTGCTCTGTGCTACAGTTTTTACAATTATATACATTGATACACACTGTCTACCCTTCCTGGTTTTCAAAGAGATAGACTGTTGTAGATAAGCTTTGGCTGAGCTGATTTGTCGTATAGCATCGGCTGAAAGGATGTAGTTGATCACTTTCCGCCTAATAATGCAGGTTGCTCCACGTGTCCTAGATAAGGTTGGAGTCGATCAGGGGACGGCTACATTTGATAGTGGGGTCCACTATGCTTCTATCTTGTTGATGAGGATTGTGATATTCTTCATCAGTCTCTGATGGGGGGAAATCCGAATCTTGGCTGTATTGCTCATTCCGGAAATGTTCTATATCATCCGCGATCATGGCTAATTCCAACGGAAGATCCAAATTATTTCTCTTTTTGAGATTTATTAACATGTCAAGAGCCTCATTAATTTGTGTAGGAAACCTTTGATATGTTATGGAAAAATGGGTTACAAATAATATTCTACCATCTGTAACCATGAATGGCAATTTTGTTGAGCCATGGATGTTGGACGCTGCTTGTGAAACAGATATTAGACTGTTTATCAAATATTCTGTCAAAAAAAGTTTTTTGATATTTTTCAATCGCTCTCTCCGGTGATCTTCATCTAAATAATCATCTCCATATTCAAAATCTTCAGTTTCTTTAAGATACCAAATCTGGTATGGTTGGAAAAAATGTTCTCGTTCTCGCCAACCAACAGTGCTGGAGATCCAGAAAGTAAAATATTTGCTCCATCAAAAGCCTTTTACTATCCATGAGAGCATTGCTTTGATAATCATTGGATAATCTATCCAATGGATTGGATCTAAAATTTGAAAAATACCTTAATTAGTTATTCCCCAATCTATATTCTCAAAAAACCACATGTCATAGTTTGTCATGATGGTTATTTTGCGAATTCCATCTTTCAAATTTAATTTATCATAAGATCGTTCTAAGATTTGTCTAATCTTATCATGATGATGTTCAACCCGATTTTTGGTTAACATAAAAATTTCTTTTGGAAGCAAAGTTCTTGTTTTTTCAAAAAGACATATTCTTTTTATTTGTTCAAAAACTGGATCAGAAAACTCATCTGATATGAGGTCTGATAATTTAAGAAAATTGTTTATTTTTTCAAAATTAAAATCTTCATTCCAATTCATTTATTTAAGAATATTGAAACAAAGATTTTCCAAATCTTTTAATTTAGCTGTTTGCTCAGATAATTTGTTAGCCAAAACTCCCATGTGTTTTCGAAATTTCACTTTGTTGTCTACAATGTGAGTTTTCCAAACTCCATTGAGTTCTGTATAAATTTCTTTGGATATACCAGGGTTGAAAAAATCTTTTATCTCAGATTCATCTGGTTTAGATGTCTGAATATTAGTTGGAACTGGGTTAGTTCTCATTTGATTCCTTTGATAAATAGGCATAGCTGGTGCACTGTAAAAAACTTTTTTAGCTTTGGTCATGCTATCATATGCTTTAAAGCTTGCTCTTGAGTATCCGCAAACTTGTGTTTTGCAATCATTCCATACTGTGTAAATTCCAAGTTGTCTTCCTACAAACACAACATAAACTTTTTCTTCTCTGGGGATTACTTTTTTAGCAATTGTCACCCAATCTCCTTGAGCGGATTGTTTACCCTTATCCATTGTTTCCTCTTAGTCTAGAGGTCTTCTACAAAAATTAAATTTACTTGTTTAGCAATTTAATTTTCTTAAACAATTTCTGGTAAGAAAATCTGCAAGAAAATTGTTAGTACCTTTATGATGTTCTACTTCAAAAGTATATTCAGAAATTTTATTATACCAGGCTAATCTTCTTCCTTGCTCAATAGGTTTTTTTATTGATCAAGAAATCTCTTACTGCCTTATTATCAGTGCGTACAATAAAATTTTTTTGGGCTAAATAAATATGAAAGCTTTTTATTGCCAATTTTATTGCAAGTAATTCTTTTTCCAAAATAATATATTTCTGTTCATTTGGTTTAAATGTTCCAGAATCATATCCGCAAATTAATTCTTTTTTTTGTAATTTTATGGGTATTGAATTTTTTCTTGGTCTAATCCCATTTTCTGATAAAGGTATCTCTTTATCATACCATAAATTACTTGGTATTGCTTTAAGAACACATCCCCAGCATGCTTCTGAGGCATCTGTTTCTAAAATTAATTTATCACCTATTTTAGGAAGATAAACATCTGGTAAAGTTTAAACATTTTCTTTAATTTGTTTAATTAAAGCAACATCTTCTGTTATCCATTCAAAAATAACATTTTTCTTAATTTGGTTAACCAAGGAATTTCTATTTTTGAAAGATTTTTGATAAAATTTTGTCCATAATTTAAAATGCCTAATAAACTCTGTAATTGTGTTATATTTTCGAGAGTATCAAGACAATCTCGTACTTTGGACAAAATATGTTCTTGTAATTTTAAACATTTCTGGTCTAAAATTATTCCCAAAAATTCAATTGATTTTTTTTCTAGTTCAATCTTTTTTGGAGACAAAGGGTATGTTTGGTTTGAGTTATAAAAATGAGTTTTAGAAAAAAAAATTTCAAAAAATTGTTTGGTTTGAGATTTTTTTCAAAAAAATTTCAAAATCACTTTCTCTATCTTACACATCAATCAATCACTTTTTCTCTCACACACATTTACTCAATTACAACAAAATATCAAATCATCCCAAACTCCCAAACTCCAAAATTACTTTCAAAATATACAACCAAACAAACCAAAAAAATTTCTAAAACAACTCTCCCAA